TTTTTAATATTATTTTTTTTTGCATTTCTTCACGTATTATTTTGCCCAGTATAGACAGTCCCTGCAATAAAATAAAATTAATTTTTTTTAAACATACTTTTAATTTAAAATGTATGCAACACACGTATAGTTGAAATATTTTTATATTATTAAAATAAGAAACAAAGAAAGAAATGTCAGTTATTAAAATATTTAATTTTTGTTTTTTGATGTTCTGTTACAATTTCTGTTACAATTTTGAAATACTATATAAAAATATAATTTATATAATTATTTCATATAGAGTTTTAATTAAAATTTTTAAATTTTGTGTTGATGTATCACTTTTTTGCGATATGTATATAAATAATTAAAATAAAAGTTACTAGTTTTAAATTTACCTTGTCTATTTCTTCTAATGAAGCATAACTATAGCTAAGCCTCACGACAATCATGTTTTGAAGGATCGTAATTGAAAGCGTTTTCAGGAACAACACAAACACCTTGAGGCACGCATTTGTTAATTACTAAATCATATATGTTATCCACGGTTGTTATTTTAATCCAAAGAAAAAATCCACCTTGCGGTGGATACCATTCTGCCAAACCTAACAGATTTTGTATAAGAATTACTAAATTGTTTTCAGAATTTAGATAAATAGAAATTAAAATATGCAGAGTATTTGAAAACAATTTTTTCATAGATTTATTTATTAAGTTTAAAATTGATTCTTTTCATGCTTTAAATAAATTAAAATACAGAATTTTGAACAAAACTTTAAAAAACAAATTAGATTACAAAATTATATTCCTTTTTAGGTTGACCTTTTTTAAATAAAATTTTATTTTGAAGAATAGAGTCGAGTGTTCGTAAGAACTATCTTAATAATTGAAATGTACAATTAATGTAACGATAAATAATAAAAAGAAATATCGTTTTTTATCGCCAAGATTGATGTTAAATAAAATTATGTATTTTGGAATTAATTTATACTTTTACTTAATAAATATTTTTACAAAATTTAGTTTTTAAATCTCTGAAAATGTAAAAATTATAAAATTAATTTGTAGCATACCTTTTAAATGTTTCTCAACCATGGCCAGCATCATGTCACGTCGCTCCCGGTAAAACTTTTGAATATCTTTGAAATGCTGCTCAAATTGTTACGGTTGTAGTTTCCAATTTTCGAATAGTTTATAAAGAAACATCTAAAAGAGATTATATTGTAGGTAACTTTTTAACGTATATTTAACAAAATCATTTTATTCGTAAATTTGCATCTACGTTAATAATAAAATAGTGATTAATTATTGTATTTACTAATAAATATTTTAATCACTATATATTATTGAGAAATTCAGTTGCTGAAATACGACAGATAATAAGAATTTAAAACTATGAAAATTTGAGATAAGTGTAAAAGAATGTTTGTGAAAAAATTTGTGAAAAAATAAGATAAGATAGATAAAACAACTTATTTAGCTATTTTGTATTTATTTAGCTATTTATTATTTTGTTATCTACGCATTACGTAAAAGAAATTACTATTAGGATTATTTGCAATTAAATAAATAATACTAAGAGAGTATGATATAGTAAAAATTTAGGAAAAACCACTATTTTTAAGAAATTTTTTTAAATTTAAATAGCTTTAAATAAATTAAAAAAAAATATTAATTATTATATCGATTAGGTAGACCAATAATATTTTAAGAATTTTTGTAAAAGTATAATAATATATGTATGTATATAATGACATTGCACAGTATTGTAGATTCCTGGGTTTAAAAAACAATCCATCGACGACGTAAAATTCAAGTTGTAATTATCAAAAATAAAAAATTCTTGCAAATTTCGAAATTATATGAACGTAATTTTAATTAAACGTACAAATTTTTTAAAATAATTTTTTTTATAAGATGATAGTTTGAAAAAGATTGAAAATTTTATTAAACTTTTCAAATATTTTGTTCTCAGAAACTAAGAATTAAAAAAAATCCCTGCGTCTAACTGAAACTATTCATTTTGTGAAATTATTATTAAATCTTAAAATTAATTAATCAACAAAATTATTTTAATTATAAACTCCGCTAATTGAAAAAAGTGATAAAGCGAAGTGAGAAAAACGAAAAACGAATTTATTATTTTAATATTAATTATTTATCAATTGAATTTATTAGTTTATCATAGTGAATGTATCACCAGTGAAATAAACACGACAACATAATCGAAGGAATTTTTGTAATCTAAACTCATAATTTTAAAGATCATTTTAAAGCGATTGACCAGGTGAATCACACTTTCACTATTCGAGAAATACTTTGAATTTCATTAAAATCTTTTAGAAGCGTACTTCTAAGATGTTAATCTTTTGAAAAATGTAAAAGCATCGGTTTTCTGAAAATGTAATATCCTCTTAAAAGAAAGCTAATTTTTACTTGAGATAAGGATGACGCGTGAAGAGTAGAGCATCCTATGTGAAGAAGCATTTTGGCTATAATATCTTTGTGAGCTGTCATCACACCGACGCGAATTCCAGCACTCATAATCTTACTAAATGAATCCAGTCTAATCACACGACCATCAGTATCGAGAGAGAAAAACGATGTAGGCTGTTTATCCAGAAAATGAATGAAGCAGTAAGGATCATCTTCAACAATCAGGAAGTTGTATTTTTGCGCCAATTCATATACTTTCCTTCGTCGGATTTCCGACAAGACAGCGCCTGTAGGATTTGATCCCGTCGGATTAATGTAAAGTAACTGAAAAATTCAAAAGCTTTGCATATCTTTCTGATAAAAGGAAAAAAGGATAAATTTTTAAAGTACCTGTCATTAAAAAAGATAAATAAAATAAAAATCATATATAATTAAAATTAAAAAATAATAATTAAAAATAATATAAAATAAAAGCGTCAATTAAATAAATAAACTAACTTCAAAACTTCAAAGATCTTAAAGAGATAATTGATTATGGATAGATCTTTGTCTAAATTGTAAA